GTCCCCATCGTTTGCAACTAATGATGATATGTGGACTATGGGTATAGGTCCTCTCACTGTCCATCCCAGGGGTGTTTTCGTCGCGAACAGATCATCTCTACCTCCAAATCTCTCTTCTAATACCTTGTGAGCTTCTGGCACACTACATCCAATGAGTACTCTCACTCTTCCATCTTGCAGTGTTGGAAGAGGTATGTCACACAGGTATGGCTTACCGACAACCGTTTCACGACTAGGTACTATAGCTTCGCCAAGTTTCATACTGGAGGTAGTGTAAGCAGTATCCACTTCCACGGTTTCCCCAGTAGCCAAGGATTCTAACTGAAATGACACTCGTTCACATACTACTGTTTTCGCAGAATTGAAAGTATTTACAACCAAGGGTTGCTTTGGGCCTTTAATACCCAAGCAACCAGCCAGTTCAGCATCTATCAATGTAACGTCTGAACCATTATCCAACAATGCATAAGTCTACTGAAGATTTCGGTCCTTTCACTTTAACTGGTAATACCCCTAAGAAAACTTGTGGGATGTCAAGGGGTCTAAAGATACTATTACAATTAACCGAATTCCCAGGTTCGTTCACTGTCCTCAGAAGTGGGTGCATATCCGTTAAACCACTACTTCCTCTGTTTGTCGCCTTACAATTCCACTTTGTATGCCCAATCTTTAAACAACTGAAACACAGCCGCTTCTGCTTTGCCATTTTTAACCTTTCTACGGGTGACATAGCGATAAAGCGATTACAATCACTCAATTGATGCATGTTATGGCAAACAATACACTCATCCTTTCTCGTTGTGTCTTGAGACTTCACCACAAATGCCTTCCTTATATTCACTGGTTCCTTAGGTTCTATCTTAGAATGCAAAATGCTGGCGAATTCGCCCATCGCCTGGTTGACACTGTCCTTCACCAGTCTCAGAATATCATCAAACCTTGGCACGATTCCCTCATCCTCTATACGAGAGCTTATTTTTACCCCCTTTCTTTGCAGTCGAGTAGGTAGGCGTCTCGCAATTACCTCTAGGACTGAGCTCGAGTTGAGGTCACTCATGCAATTCATAGAAATCAAGGTATTCTTATAAGTCATCAGATTATCTAAAAACTCAGTAATTGCCTTGGAGTTATCTTGTAGTTGACTGCCGTTACCTTTGACAGCTTCGTATACGTTCTTTACAATCATTGAAGGTCTTCCAAACCTTTGACGTAGTATGCTCATAGCCTCAGTGTATCCCTCATTAGGGGGCATGAGCTTACAGCACTATATAGCTCTTGAAGCATCTCCAGTGCAATACCTCAACAAATACATCAATTTCAATTCATCACTTAATAGAAAACTACTCAGCATGATCTCAAACTCCTTTACAAATTGTAAATAATCAGCCGGGTTTCCATCAAAACACCGTGGTTCAAATTTAGGGAGTTTGATGTTCCTATTATCCCTGAACGGCGAAACAGTAACATCAACCATGTCATGCTTAACATCAGACACATCGTTACAATTAACAGACAAGTCACCATGACTTACTTTCCTGTTTGCATCCAAGACACTCTGTCCCTTCTTTGACCCAGGCATTGTTGAACTTGACCCAATTCCAGAAACGTTCCAGATATTGCTTGTTCAAAGAGGACTTGACCGGCACCAGGAAAAATGAACGGCGACTATCCAAACTTTCACCAACTGTCTGAATCCGCCAGAATCTGTTTCTACCGTCAGAAACTGTCAGCCACGTCTCGTAAACCGTTAATGCTCAGCTCTTGCTACGCTCGGGCCCACGCTGTTCCTTGAAGTTTCTCAGAAACGCTTAGTAATAACGGACGCAATAACAAAAACACCGATTGGCCACTTGAGAATTCTTTATTGTGACACCAACACATAAAAATAATGTTTTTACTAGGGTCTGTGAACAAATATTACAATAATAAATCACAATATTACTTCTGACGGCTTGCTACTGACTTCTTTCTGAACAGCGACCGATGAGACGATGACTGTCGTATTGATGCCTCCAGGAAAATTGGGGAAGTTGGTTTCGAGCAAACAACCATGAATTGATCGTTCAATCTTCAACTGCATTGACAGGCGTCGTGGTGTAAGTCCTGCGATTATTCAAATGAATTCCACCAAAACATGATCGGCGAGGTTATTTGTACTGTTTGTGTAAACGTGTGGTGTGTCTTCTCAATTGGTGATTTTGGAATAATTGTGTTTACTCGTTGTTTTCGTACCTTGTTTTTATTGAAAAATTTTGTTAAAATTTTCGTCGTGATTACTTCTGAAGTTGTCTCGAGTCTTCTACATCCGTAAATGAATTGATTGATGTTCAAGAGAGCAGATGGGTCGTATACACATATATATTACCTAAGCATAAAGGAGGGGCCAAAACTAGTGCATGTAATTATAGGCCTATCAATATAACACCAGTCATATCAAGGATCATGGCGAAAGTAATCAAAGACTAAATGTCAGACTACTTTCTAAAACATAAACTCATCAACCTGTCACAACACGGATTCCTCAAGAAAAGATCTTGCGTCACTTGCCATATAGACTTTTTCAACGAAGTCACCTATAGAAGAGATAGGAGAGAGCTAGTGATTATCCTCTATTTCGATATAAGGAAAGCCTTCGACAGAGTCCCACATAGTCTGTTAGTCGGTAGGCTATGCTCACTAGGGATACGCAACCCCCTCTACAATTGGATAAAATCATTTCTGTATGACAGGAATCAGACAACTAAAGTTGGCTCAATGACCTCCAGACCTAGACCAATCAGCAGTGGTGTCATCCAGGGGAGTGTATTGGGACCCCTTCTTTTCATTATATACATAAACAGTATATGTGAATGTTTTAGTATAGGCAAGCCAATACTGTATGCAGATGACTTGAAGGTGACATATACCTGCACAAATACAGATATCGGCCCAACTATGAACTCCATACATGAAGAATTAGCAAAAATGGATAGATGGTGTGACACGTGGAGACTTGAGTTTAATGTTGAAAAGTGTGGATGGCTCTGCATAGGCTGTTCCAACCTTGACCTCAACCTAGCAATTCAGGGCCACAAAATCCCCAGACTCAAATGTGTACTAGACCTAGGACTGAAATATTCACACAATCTATCATTTTCAGAGCATATCTCGAATCAAGTGTCGAAATCACGAAGGCTTATTGGTTTCCTACTCAGGAACTTCTACAGAAACGAGTCCAGAATACTACTGCACAAGGTTTATGTGCGCCCACTCCTAGATTACTGCTCATTCATATTCAGCAGTACACGCATAGAAGACAAACTGAAAGTAGAAGGAGTACAGAGGTACTTCACGCGAAAAGTACTCGGAACCGATAACGGCACAAACTACTCTACCAGATGTGAAATCCTGGGACTAGAAACATTATGGTTAAGGCGACTGCGACTAAATCTGTTACTCTTCTATAAGCTTCTTAACCAAATAGTGTATACCCCTGCTAACTATACTCGGTCCTCAGGTAACACAGGATACAACCTTAGGCACACTAAAGGTACAGTGGCTATAGAACCAGGTAAAACAGCCACCAGGCAAAAGTTTTTCTTGATTAGGTATGCCCAAATATGGAACAAACTACCTGAGAAAATACGACTAGCAAGCACATTGGCCTCCTTTGAAAAGGCACTTAATGACACACTAAGTGAGTTTGTAATTGATACCAATGGTAATTCCCATGTAAGAGTTTCAGAAATCATAGGCCCATTTAATGTATGAACTCAGAGACTACACCTGTTGTTTGTTTTGTCTCTATTTATAATTCCAGACAAAAAAGCAGCAGTCATGACAATAACACCCATTCAACCAAGAGTCGATCAAACTATGTCTACCTGATACAAAGGGCGAACCATAATCAACATACGAATGAAATATGAGAAAACAAGGTAGAAACTTACCGCAACACCACATGAAAGGATAAAAGTTACTTGGATATCATTTATAATCCACCAACTGGTCTCCTACCCAAAAAGAATGCGGCGATGTTTTATCCACAGTGGCGAGGAAATACATAAACCCACAGCAGCTGTTGTTAACACTCAGTTCGGGTAGGAGCCAACAAAGTAATCCTTTCAAAGCACATGTATACTTCAAATGGGCACGGAGACTTTGTAGAATACGTCATAATCCAAATCACTGCCTCTACAGCGCCAATAAACCTGGATATCTATGATATAACGAAAACATGCTGAAAGCTGCATCTCAGATCAAGTTGACTCATTTGATGGTAATGATCTCCTCCTGCGTGCCTTATTCGACATATTGAATGGAATGGTTCGCAGTTATTCTGGTACTAGATCGAAAAGAATAAAAAATTCACCGGTTGCTGAATCAAAAGTACTTCTCTGCATGTTTAACTGTATTCTAACTGCTATGATTAATTCCAAACCATTTATCCCATAATCACTCAAATTCCAGGAACGATCCAATTCTACCATTTAAAGAAGCTGGCGGACACGATGTAAATGAGTATTCATGATCTGAAATGAAGAAGCAACTGGTTTTCAACATTTTACTCAACTTACGAGTACAGTCCGCCATGCAGACACAAATGGCGCAAATGGGGAATTCTGGAATCGACCTCGGGACCATTTGATGCAGTAAAACAACCCGACATGACCTTATCTAGTTTTCGTATCCACGATCAAATTTCTTTCCTGTTATAAAACTACGACAAGACTACTGAAAAATGGAATAAATATATCAGTGATCTCAACATAATACATCAATAATCTTTAAGCCAAGGGTGCTGTTCACAACAAAGTTATATAAGAGAATTATAATAATAATAATAATTTATTTTCATATAAACATAAATTTACATGAAAATGCATGCCATTTTTACAGGCACGGTCAAGGATGATATAATGTCAAATCTTAAATTGTCTACAAGTTAATAATGTTTCAAAAGTTAAATATTTGATATATATATAAATACACATTGTCTGAACTAGGCTGTATAGTTATTGAATTGTACAATTGTCCTCCAGGTTTCGCGGGAAAATCGACTTCGTTTCGTTTTCATCCCGTGGTTGTAGGCATACGATAATCAACCAATATTGAGGTAAGTACAACGTTTACAAGGAATTGGAAGCTGTTTTAGAAAAATTAAAGTGCTGTGGTGTAACATTAAAGTGTAATAGATTAAGTGAGTGAAATATATCATTAATAAACACATTTATATAGAAAACAGAATGGGGAAGTAATTAATCCTTAGGCCGACAACGTTCATTTGCAATGTATAATGAAACCAATATATTTTATACTATCATGCGTTCACTTTTGGCTTTAATACAATTGTTTTCAAGCCAGTTGTTTTTATTTCATACCTTGTCTATTTGGTTCACAACCGTACCCTCCAGAGAATAGGAAGAGAATAAGTCGAATCAAATTCATAAAGAGCTATAAAATGTTAGGTTTAATGGAATGTAATGAGGATCAAGTAAAGACGTTATTAGAAAATAAGTGAGACAAGATATTGTGAAGTGGTATTTAAAGATCTGACAATGGATAGCAAGTTAATTTATAAGATGCCCCATAAATCTGTGCAGATCCCACGTGGTCGCATCTCAACAATAGGCTGAGCGAATGGTATATATTTAAAGGTAGAAGCATTATCTGTCAAGGCGTTCACTATTATCTTTTTCAAGATAGAGATCTAAGCCCTCATAAAAATCAGAAATATCTCGAGCCTTTAATTTGTATATTGCTGTTCCTGCAGAATGGGGCGATTCACCTTAGTGACCACCACCATATCTACTGATCAGCTAACGCCACCCTCCCTCCTTTTTGATGTTAGGCTCTGAGACTATGATTATTATGGCTACCGCAAATATATTGCTTGGTACCAGACATGTTCGTACCCCATATTCCATCTCCCTAGCTTTCTTAATGAGTGCTTCCAATAGGTCTCCAAGTACATCTTTACGAACATATTATATATGTGTGCATGCATCCTGATGAACAGATTACTTTATAAGAAGTTAAAACCTTAAAGAGTAAAACGAATAGGCATTGTGAATAGTGGAACAAGATTTAGCAGAATACTATAGTTAAGGTTCAATTTAGGTAGTATGGACTGAAGGTAAGGTCGGTTGGCAGGACTTAGTGTACTAAATTTTCATGACAGTCTTATATATAGTAAACATCTGACATTGCAAAGTAACGTGTCTAGACATATTATAAAAAGATATTAACACAGAACCAACGAAATTTTGGCATTTTTTAACAATACTGCAGTGTGTGTATACTGAAGAATGGTGGTTAGTCTACAGGGAGCCGTAGAGTAAATCAAACCATATATGATAAGAGTATAATCAATAATATAGTTCGTATATCAAATATTACACTAGGTTCAATAATTGAGTGTTATAAGGGAAACAAGCGTGGTAAAGCAAGAGAACATTTGATGCATAAATATTTTAAGTATTTTAATATCCATCTAATTTAAGAGTTGAACATGCATGATTAATAAGTATTGTTATATTAGTATATACATATGTAAAACGTTAAAAGGTGTGGATGCTATTACAATTATTTCCAGTGTTACTTTCACCAACACAACTTAGTGAAAATTATAGAGAATAGAAATCAGTAAATTAGTTAACGTTCGCTGCGTGACTTCAAGCTTTATTTTTCCCATATATCTGTATTACATTCATGTGATGTCTGGGTTTTTTGTTAATGCGAAGACAATATTTCTATATCTCTTTATGTGCTACACAAACAGACTTTATAGCAGACTGTTCCGACTGACTCTAATGTCAGAAAGAACAACCAAACTGTAAGTCCATTATACATCAAATTATGTGTAATTCATATAATAACTTATCCATGCCTGTACAATTGGTATGTTCCTGCATAAACAGGAAGGAATATATTATTATTATTAAAACAATATTTATGCATGCCTATACAATTGCTGTACCCTACATAGCTAGGGAAAAAATGTACCTTATATTATCTTTACTAAATATGCTTGTTGATATTATGTGTAAATTATCGAATTGATGATGCCTGTAAACTGGCGTCCCTCATGTAAAAAATGAGAATATATATTATTATTATTATACGCCGGGGAGGCTATTGCTGAGAATGAAATGCATACGGAGATAATTGTCAGCCGCGGTCCGACACGCCGGGGAGAAAGAGTGTAAACGACTGAGGCTCGCATACCTCACTGTTACTAGAATTGAGGCAGAATGAGTGACAAGCGATCGCAGTGTTAATTGGTAGTGAGTAGATAAAAGGATGTGTGTAGAGTATCATGAGGTGCGGATGTGGTCACGTTGCATTCTGCAAGAGTCATTCTAGCAAGTGGCGATTGTGTTGCAATAGGATGCCTTTAACCAGAAGTTGTAAGTCGTCATTGATGTGTGAGATTGTGCTGTGAGTATGCTTGTGGTGTGTTGGCTTTTCTGTTTGTTTTCTGTTTCAGCTCTGTCCGTGTGACCCAGGTTCTCGCAATGGAATCCAAGTCAACGTGTATCGGTCGTGAAGAAGAATAGGGATGGATCCCTTTTTTGCCGGGGAGTGTCAATGCAGTTGAAGATTGAACGATCAATTCATGGTTGTTTGCTCGAAACCAACTTCCCCAATTTTCCTGGAGGCATCAATACGACAGTCATCGTCTCATCGGTCGCTGTTCAGAAAGAAGTCAGTAGCAAGCCGTCAGAAGTAATATTGTGATTTATTATTGTAATATTTGTTCACAGACCCTAGTAAAAACATTATTTTTATGTGTTGGTGTCACAATAAAGAATTCTCAAGTGGCCAATCGGTGTTTTTGTTATTGCGTCCGTTATTACTAAGCGTTTCTGAGAAACTTCAAGGAACAGCGTGGGCCCGAGCGTAGCAAGAGCTGAGCCTTAACGGTTTACGAGACGTGGCTTACAGTGTTTATAATTGAGGTCTACCCTAAGCCGTAATAGCTCTTACAAGTGGCAGGCTATTACGCCTTAGGGTAGACCTCAATTCTAAACCCTCTTACAAATCTTCTTCACCGTATTATGGCTTTAACTGTACTCGACTTAGCGTACAGATACTGACGAACTGAATCAAGGTAAAAAGACTTGGTATGACAAGGGTGTCTGGGATAGTTATATATTACACAAAGGAAATATGAAATTCAATCAATAAAGAGGTTGTACAACTTATCTGTTGACGTCACTGGAGGTAGGCTCAGAAAGTGTGCGTCGGTGGCACAGTAATTATGACCCTCGCCGACCATGCACATGGTCCGGGGTTCGAGCCCACGCCGACGCACACTTGATATCTATAGTCGGCCAGCGAATTTTGGGCTACCGATATCCACGCTGAAAATTCCATACTTGTACCAAAAATACGGAGTGGAATCAAGCTGTAATCAAAATGTATAAATAAAATAGAATGAGAGCACAACGAGAGAGCAAACCGATGAACGCACGGAAGCGTCACATCTCAATAGATAAAAGTGTGTCAAGCATGGGTGAGCGAGTTTAAACTAAAGTTCAAGGGTACAATGTGCACTACAGATCGATCAAAACCGTGTGGACCACTTACTCATCTCGATGTCGATTCCACTGAAACAGAATTACAAGGAGGTCCGTCCAAGTGCTTAGAGATCCATGCTAAACCAATCATGCCTGGTAGCTCGACAATAGTAAGTAATTCCGAGACACTCGATTCCCCACACTTCCATCAAAGAACAACGAAGTGGAGCTATCGTGTTTGGTGTTTGATAAGTGATAATCGTGACCGGAGACGCTCACCTAGAAAACGAGTAGATCCGTTTATAAGTGCCTTTGCTACCACTGTTAGTACTACTCCTGCTGTATTCTATTTAGATGTCAATTTCACGAGGGACAATTCAATTCAATATGACTGTGTTTGTGTGAACTGTGTACGAGTGCGATTGAATGTTGTTTGTAAGGGTCTCGAACGATTGGAATGTGTTTGATGCCTGCAGTTGAGTTCTTCGTATATGGTGTCGACGGTGGTTATTCGTCAATGAGGACATATGTTGAGTACGTAACAATGTGATTGTACACTTTTTGGTTACTTGTATAAATTCGAGATATTGTACATAATTTTTGTTTAAAACGCTTCTTGTTGAAATATACATAACTTCCGTGTACAATTGAAAAATACACTCTGCTGTTGGAGACTTCGTCTTCTCCCTGGTCACTTCTGCTTACTTGCTCCACTCACACCGTGTTGTATACTTCGGATTTATTGTAGGAGCCTACTACTCTCAACCGAAGACATTTCTACAACCGGAACACAGCAGACGCTGTCCAAACAATTAACGTTGCCTGTGGATTATATAATTAATTTGTAGGGGACTAATATTAGAGTTCACTAGCATTCCAAATATAAAAGTAATAATCCAAGTCAGTGTAGTGTTAAATCACAATATATTGCCAAAATTACAGTGACGAGTTATAGCAACAAAAAGGATTACTTGTATATAACGTCTAAGTCCTCGGCTACAAACTAATTATATAATCCACAGGCAACGTTAATTGTTTGGACAGCGTCTGCTGTAGCTGCTGTGTTCCGGTTGTAGAAATGTTTTCGGTTGAGAGTAGTAGGCTCCTACAATAAATCCGAAGTATACAACACGGTGTGAGTGGAGCAAGTAAGCAGAAGTGACCAGGGAGAAGACGAAGTCTCCAACAGCAGAGTGTATTTTTCAATTGTACACGGAAGTTCTGTATATTTCAACAAGAAGCGTTTTAAACAAAAATTATGTACAATATCTCGGATTTATACAAGTAACCAAAAAGTGTACAATCACATTGTTACGTACTCAACACATATATTGTTGTAGTGAATGCAGATGTGGCGAGAGTAAATTGTACCATTTCTGCAGCTCATTACGAAGTATTCTTGGGGATAAACGAACTGGTTTTGAGGAGTCAGTGTTAATTCCATTGCTATCTGTTCTTTGATACATTTTTTTATTATTTCCACTCGCTTTTGTACAACTTCCCCATTGTAAGTAATGTGAGATATATCTGTCACTTCATACCCATGAGTAGTTTTGTTCTCCACTGAGCTTTAACCCGCCTACTGTACGAAATCTCTAATTTGACGTACAGTTATTCCTTATGTTCTGATTAGACATTATCTGTTGTGTACACTTATTTGTATAATCTTCTCTGTTGAATATTGTTTATTGGTGACATATCGCACTCTGTGCAGCAATCGCGGTCTCTTTCGTGTATACATGGATGGCCATTGGCACGGAATACATCATTATTTTATGCTTAATATATTATCGAATTGCGGACAGATCCTGTGTTATTGGATTTTTTATTATTTTCATTTAGTTTTGTGCAACTTTTCCATTGTGAGTTATTTATTTTGCCTCATTTACATGAGTAGTTTTGTTTTTCACCCAGGTTTAACCCTACTACTGCATTAATACTCTACTTTGATGTACAGTAATTCCTTTGTTATAGTTAGACATTATCTGTTGTGTATAGTTTTTTGTATACTCTTCTCTGTTGAATATTGTTTATTGGTGACATATTGCACTCTTTGAAGCATTCGCAGTCTTTTTGGTGTATACATGGATGGCCATTGGCACGGACTTTTAGTTTTATTAACTGACGCATAGGGAATGTTCGTTTAACGGTTTCCAGCGACAGACACTTCACACTTAGAGGTTTGTATATTACATCTCATTATTTTATGCTTAATATATTATCGAATTGCGGATAGATCCTGTGTTATTGGATTTTCCTAATGGCTGAACATGCGGTTTAACTAATCTAGTCGATTTTCGCTTTGAGGTCCTGAGTAGAATGCGAAGGGAATTTTTCTGTGCGGTTTCTGGTAAATAGTAGAGACTAGCTACGAGATTTCGATTCAAGGAATGATGGAATAAGTTGAGTGCGATTCCTGCGCAAATATATAATATCTTGCTCTATAGCTGTAATGACAGTTTGAATGTTGAGTTTAGGAAGTATAGTAAAGAAGCGAACAGTGAAGGGAATGGATAATTTGTTCATTGTCATTCTGAAAGGTCGATACTCAGGAGATGGTAATAACGACAGAAACTGGCGTCGAAGGTGACAAGAAAGGGACTTGCATAACTTTGTAACGGTAGTATGTATAAGGGATGTGTGCATCATAGGCAATACCTTGATAATTATGAAGAACATGAGGTTGAAACGCACTTAAATCAAAGAGCTTCAGTGAAATTATATTGCTTTAACTGGACGATCATCCAATGAAAAATCCGACAAAATAATGCTTTCCTCGAGATATCTTGTACTGATCACCTGCACTGCTCATCTGAGTCGAACACACAGATGTCCTTCATAATTGGTTGGCATTAGTGAACATAGACGAGTAACTAAGCGCTGACTGTCTGGTTGACCCAGAAGAGTATGAACTGCAATATTGTTCAGTGTTCGCTTATGAATACTTCCAATGGGTAGTGTAATGTAGTGATTTTATTTGTTGATTTGCTAAGCAGGCTTTCGATCCCAAGTGAACAGTTGCCTATGCAGCCAGCGAGTCAGTGAACCGATTAGGTAAATTGAGTGAGTGTTGTGAAGCCGATAAACCTCTCCTGGGTTGGGTGGTACCGATTGTTGTAGGAAGAAAGCAAAGTGGAGAAGGTAGTGATTTAGGGGTGTATTGTAAAAAGTACTTTTAATGTAAATATGAAATTTTCAGCATGCATACAATATTGCATCCAATTTTCTCTGTACATAACGTGGGTAGTAATTAGGCGGGGCGTTTACATTGATAATATTGTCAAGCAAGAATTTAGATGAAGATATTGATAGCAGTATAATGAAAGGAAGAATATGGAGAGTCGTCTACCTAGTGTTTCTCAGTAAGTTGGTGGTAGTGTCATGCCTTAGACTTTTCTTGACACGAAATATGTGCCAAAGAAGGTGTTGTAGAGTTAGCGTGCCAATGTCGTCGGAGCACAACGTCTGTTTTAGTCGTTCCTGGTTCTAGCTGATAAGGTGCAAGGAGAGAGTGGTGTTTGTAGAGAAGATGCTCAGAGTCTGACAAGGTAGAATTTGCTAACTGCTTGCGTGAGTGAGTGATGAGTGCACTTGTCCATCCTACCTCGAACAATATAAATAAGTTGGTTTAGCGATACTCGCCGTGTTGACAGCTTTTAGTGCCGTTGGCAGTTCGACGCAGTCCTTCTTAAGTAGCTCAGGAAAGATTAAAGAGGAGCAATAAAACAGAATATGTAGAAAACAAGAATCGAAAAATCGCAACGACAAAGATTGAGTGATGCCAGATTGTCATAACTTATATATGCAGACCGTTAAACCAGATATCTCTCTGGAAACTGACGTGAGCAGGAAATATCAGGGGAAATGCACAATTCAAGGTTCCATGGATTGGAGACACCTGTGGACATCATTTGTATTAAAACAGGGCCAACAGTCATTTTCTTCACTTGTAAGATTTGAAATCATAACGTCTGCTGGACGATGCATGAAGGACTTATTAAGCGCGTACCAGCATCAACTGAAGAAGGGTGATTATCTATTTTATTTGCTTCCCACCGGTAACTTCCTTAAATAGCTCCCACATATTTGTTGAGGTTGTGCATGATAATGACTTTTAGTTGTAGATCATATGTAATCTCTGTATTTCTAGTTTAATTGAAATGTTCAGTCTATTGACACCAGTCCATATGACCTTATCCTCGGTGAGGTTTGTTGAGTAGGGAGGAGGAATGCGATCAAATCTTAAGGGAATCATCTCTCTCGGACAACAAACATTAAGACAGGATTTGAGATGACACGCCATCTAGACCCTGTTCACCAAATAAGTCAGTTCAGTTTGTACCATTTAACGTGCTGTTTAGATTCTCTATCTTGTAGTGAGAGTAATACCTATTTTGTGTTCTCTTCTCAAGGTTCACGAAGGCCCTTATGCACAGCTTTCCATATATTTTAGGCCACATTCGTATGATACAATGATCCGAATTAAGTAGTGGGGCTCTTTCCCAAGCTTCATATTTCCCGGAGTCATTTGTGAAGACAGGAAGAAGAAGAGTATTTTCTAGTCGTGTTGAAAAGTTGAAAATGTTCTCATGAGCTAAATGGTGTACAGAAGCCGTATTCCAAGGGATTGAAATTCCCAGTGACTATTGACAAGGAGTTTCCAAGGGAGGTGGCAGCAAACGAAGTGAATTCATCAGCGAATAAAGATGGTTCCGACAGATTACATCCAGCTGCAATATAAATGTTAGGAATATAAATGTAGTTATACTTGGACAGGTGTTTCGGTCGACATTTGCCAGTGATTCAGTGGATTTTGTAACTTGAACATCTAAAACACACATTATTGGAAGTACACCACTGAGAATTGATGAAGGTTGTAACGCTACCGCTTCATTTCATCTCACAGCCACGCCGATCTCTCCACAATCTGGAATTATCGTCATATAGTTCATGTGGCCAGGTTTCTCGAAGAGTTATAGTCTGTGTATTGTGGTATGCGCTAGAGAACACGAGAGGTTGCAGACTGTTAGTTTTATTTGGCAGGGAGCGACAGTTTGTAGTCAATCTAAGGAGCAGTCATTTAGTGTATTGGGAATCGGATTCCAAGCTGTAACACCGTCAGTCAGAGTGATGTTTGTTCTTAGGTTCAGGGGAAATTCGCAAATCCGCGATTTTAAACATTCATGAGAGTGGAGAATGCGGTTGGAAGTCATATTTTCATTTCTCTTGTGGGTCTGGTCAGACAGGGGATTGCTAGCTAGCTAGCTAGCACAGTAACCAGTTATACACTGTAGTGTGCTGAGGAACTGTGGAAGAATCACAGCGATTTTCCCAGTTCTCTACCAGTTGGTTGAACAGAAACCAAGCAGAGTATTGTCTCATTGCACACAAGTACATTTATTGGTATGAATAGTTGTTCGTGTTCTGTGTAAATCAGGCGGATATTCACATTTCAGGATTTTCCAGTCGGTCTAACCATCAGAAGCTACTCTGGTGTTCTGGGCTACTCAGAAGTCGTCGTGTAAATAAGCACTCATCGAACTGGCAGTCAGTCTGTCAATCACATTAGCAAACAATAACGAAAACTAGGAACGCAAGAGATGTAGTGACACAAGTATAAAACTAGGGTACTGTGGGGACGTATAATTCCATGTTAGCTGATTTATTCGGCATAATTTATGGCGAGATGGTAATATTTTCTGCAGGACGTTTTGAGCACAGTTTAGAACTTACACCAAATGCCAACACGTAATATAATTTTCTCTCGGTGAATGTCTTGCGATAGCTCAGTGCTTTCTGTTTGTCTGTCTGTCTGTTTTCGACATAGAAGTTTGCACCGATGTGCGACAGTTCAAGTCGCCTCACTCCGTGTAGCACACAAAGTAAGAGAAGAAAGTAGAAGAAATGCAGAATAGAGACAGTACACAGGGTTGTGAGAAAAATGAATAGTAATAACGAAGAACAATATAGTTTCATTGGGTATTTTAAGTCACAAGGAGTGGGTGCATCTGCGCCTGTCATTGAGAACGATTTTAAGCCTTATCACCAATTGTTACCAGCCATTGGTTTTTACCGTCCCGAGTACCCTAACCAGTCAGGAAGTCTACACCTTCCTACGTGGCTAGCTGGCTGGCTGGCTTAAACTAACTGTTGTGGATTTCACTGACTGGTGAGCCCATGTTTTGATTTCACCACCACTGGCTAACTCTTTTCCAACCTGATCCATCCTATGTCAGCTAGCATTGCCGATTATCGAGGAAGGCGATGACTAGAGATGCATGCGTAACACATGTCCTAACCATCTCAATCGGTGTAACTTCACAGCTTCGTCGACTGATTTCCCGTCCCATCTACCTAGAACTCGACTGATGCCTCACCTCAATATTGCTCACCCTATTATACCACATAGCACACATACGAGATAGAACGCAGTCATCTATGATCAAAGACAGCTAGCTAGTCTCTTCATGTCTTCCACTGTGAATGGCCAGGTCTCACAGTCAGCCACCCAGCCATAAAGGAGGACGGAGCGGACTGATGAGCAGTACACTCGCCCTTTGGTCGATAGCCAGCCGGATATCACGTCTACTAGGCCAGAGCCTGCGTAAACTGGCATATCTGGAACTAGCCCTCTTTATCCGTACTCAGCTGAGATTTCGTCAGGGATCAAGCCGTTGGCACTGGCTGATGCAACTTTCCAAATAAGTGGAGCGGTCAACGTGCTCTACAACTTCACCGCCTATTTCTAAGCTAGGAATCAATGTAGTTCAGTCCCGTAACATCATCTTACATTTGGCGGGATGGAACTCCATGCCAAACATTCGTAGATTGCAGCTCAAGGTGTCCAGAGGACTCTGATCTATTTTGTCAGCGTCCTCACCTAGGAGGGAGGACTATATCATCTGCATAATCTAAGCCAACGAGTTTATTTCCTGGTAGCAAGTCAAGCCCTGAGTCACTGAAGTGAGTTAGGGTTAAGTCCATTGGTACATCTATGATGGAATTGAATAGAAATGGGGATAGTGGGCATCCCTGACGCACACCACTGGTCGTCACCGCTTCATATGACAACTCGCCGTAAGCCCTCACCTGGCTGATGGCATGAGTTCGAGTAGAGTGCTTTAATCAGTGCACTGTATTTTCTCAGATTCCCTTTACATCCAAGCATCGTCAGAGTAACGCTCGGTCGACAGAATCGAATTCCGCCTTTAGGTCAAGAAATATAACGATTGTTGGACCCCAACGGTAAGTATGCCTATGTTCCTGAATGTGTCGAATGGTGAAGATGTGATCAATACACCCCTTCCTGGTCTAAAGCCTACCTGGTTCTCTCGTGTTTGTTTCCCCCGAGCACCACTTAGTCTACGCATTATTATTGAGCCTAGGACTTTAGATTCCATATTAGTCGAGCCAATCCCCTGTGATTATCACAGGAAGACTTGTCTCCCTTCTTGTATATGGGGATAATCAGTGACCTAAACCAACCTGACGGGAGTTCCTGTGATTCCCAGAAGCTGCCTAGTATCTTAGTTAACGCAGAGAGTAAACTGTCTCCATCGTACTTAAATACCTCTAGTGTCATTCGGTCAGGTCCTGCTGCTTTGCCTGGTTTCACACTAGTGACAGGCTTAGTAACCGCAGTTATGGACGGAGGACCTGTGTCTATGTCCCATTCAGGGAGGTGTTTGATGTTCGGTAATTTGAGTGTGGCTGTAGGCCAATTGAAGTGCTCCTCAAAGTGTTCTTCCCAGCGTTCCAGTCGTCTATCCTGGGAGCTAATTATGGTGCCA